CTGGTTGGTCCTTAGGTTCTATCTTAATAACATGGGACTTTAAAATCCCAATAGTCCTAATACCATCATCCTTGGGCGTCTTAGCAATCACAGATTTCTCATCAAAGGTGACATCCCTGCTGATCACGAACTTTGAATCTTCCGTACACCAAAGGCGATAGCCTTTTACACCATTTGCATATCCCAAGAATATTAGCCTTCTTGGCCCTCACGTCAAGCTTTCCCTCGTTGACGTGATAATAGGCGGTACATCCAAAAATTCTGAGCCTCTCATAATCTGCATGTTCCCCTGACCACATCCTATAGGGTGTATTACCATCTAATGTCGAATGTGGTGAACGGTTCATAATGTAACATGCTGTAGCCATCGCTTCTGCCCACCATTCGTTGCCCAATCCAGCATAAGATCACATACTCATTGCCTTCTCCCGCAATGTTCGGTTCAGTCTCTCCGCGACCCTGTTCTGCTGTGGTGTTGACCTGACTGTCTAGTGTCGAACAATGTCCTCCCGATCACAGAACTTCTTGAAAGCACCGTCTATATACTCTGTGCCGTTATCAGATCTCAGTGTCTTCAATTTCTTGCCCGTCCTGTTCTCAACCATTGCTTTCCACTTCTTGAATGTCTCGAATACCTCATTCTTATGCTTAAGAATATAAATCCAAGCATACCTCGAATGATCATCTATGAACGAGACAAAATACCTGGAACCACCCTTGGAAGTTGTCTGAGTCGGACCCCAAACATCTGTGTGCACATAATCTAGTATACCTCTACTCTTGTGATTGTTTTTCAAGAACTAGACCCTGTGCGCCTTTCCATACACACAATCCTCGCAAAAATCCATATAAAGTTTCTTCAGATTCTTCAGCAAACCCTCTTTACCAAGCAGATCCAGACCCTTCTCTGACATGTGCTCAAGCCGCCTATGCCATAACCGTGTGTGCTCACATGAGTCTCCACCACTTCCTTCAGTTCCAACCGCTACATCTCCTGTCACAGTCGTACCCGAGAGAGTATATAGATTACCGTGACGAACACCCTTCATCACTGTTAGGGAACCTCGAACAATCTTCTTCACTCCGTTCTTAGTAACAATCTTGCAGCCACCGGAGTCCAAAGCACCAACTGAGATAAGATTCATCCGCAAGTCAGGAACGTGCCGCACGTCCGTTAGGGTTTTGACCACTCCATCATGCATCTTGATTTTTATATCACTGGGCCCCACCGTTTTACAAGCATGGTTATTCCCCATCAATACGGTTCCACCATCAATGCTTCTATAGGTAGTAAACTACTTCCTATTTGGACACATATGGTAAGAGCAACCTGAATCAAGTATCCACTTACCGGAGATATCTTCGCCACCCATAACAACATAGCATTCTTTATCGTTCCCTTCCTCTGAAGCATAGCTCACTTCTTCCTTGTCTTCTCTCCTCTCAGTCTTACTGTTGTTCTTCTTCCCACCTACTCTCTTGTTTGGACAGTCGACCTTGAAATTCCCAGCTTCACCGTATTTGAAGCATGCTCTTCCCGCAAGAGGTCTCGATTTAGATCTAGACTTTTCTCCCTTGCCTTTTCCTCGCTCATTGCTCCTTCTTCTAGCAAACAACCCCTGCGTTTGTTCTTTTTTACCACCAGTAGTCATGTCACTGGTTGCAATCTTCTGAAGGTCATCCGCTAGAAGCGTCGTTCTAGTCTTATTCATCGTTAAATTATCTCCCACAAGCATCAGTGTTTGCACTAGGTTCTCATAAGACTTCGGCAGAGATAGAAGTAGTAAAGCGCCTGATCCCCGTCTTCTACAGTCACATTGATGTCCTTCAAATCCGATATTATCCTATCGAACTTGTTGATGTATTCCCGGATTGATGAGCCCTCCTCCATCTTGCAAGTATACAATTTGGATTTTAAATAGATCCGGTTCGTTAGACTCTTCGTCATGAAGGTGCTTTCTAACTTCGACCACACGTCCGTAGCCGTTTTCTCTCCATCTACCAAGAAAACTATATCTCTTTCAAGGCAAAGGATAATCGACGCCCGTGTTTCCAGATCCAGCTCTTCCCAATCCTCATCAGACATATCCTTGTGCTTCTTCTCTTTTCCCGCCAAAGCTTTGTGTAATTTCTGCGAAATCAACGAGTTTTTCATCTGCATCATCCAATAAGAAAAATCATTCTTCCCATTGAATTTTTCAATCTCATATTTTCCCACTTTAACTGTTTTACTTGTTGAAGCCATTCTCCGCTTAATAAATCCGTTTCTCTCAGGAAATTGCCGAGCACCTCCTCAAACTAGAAGCTACACCACTCCCAATCTGAATAACAGCTCTGATACCAATTGTTGAGCGTAGAGTCACGCCCACCGTCGCGGAAGCGATATCACCTAAGAGACAGTCCTGGTTTTTGTTGTCACAAAAACATAAGTCAACCTCTATACTCTCGTTTCTCAAAGGAAACTAGAATAGATAGTGAAATTCTTGTTTCTCAAAGGAAACTAGAATAGAAAGTAAAATATTTTAACAAAGTAAAATATGTACTCTTCCTCTCATTAGTTCTAGGACTAAAATGTTGAGGGAACCTACAAGCAATAGCCAACACTCAGAAAACAATAAAGATACGAGATTTACATGGTTCGGCAAAATTACCTACGTCCACGGGAGGGGGTGAGGGAAAATTTCACTATGAGAAGAACACCGACGACTTGTACAATCCACAAGCTCGTCTCAAGAAAAAAGATCTGATTTTTACTCAAAATAAATTAATCTCTCTTTTGTAGAATCTCTCTTATTCTCTCCTCAAGATCTCAGATCTAAGCTTCCTAAAAAACTCCTCAAAAGAGGCCGACTAACCCTCTATTTCTCTCTCTGAAAAACAGCCGCAAAAACATAATTTTTTGTGTTTTTGTTCCCCGCACGAAAGCCTAGAGAGGATGCATCAGTATTTATAGTAAAGAAAAAAACTAACGCAGAAAAAGCTAAGGCTCACCCTCTCAGGCGCCTTATCTTATCTCTTCACACACTCACAGATATAATCTAAATAACTTGGAGGATATACGAGTACAATATGAGACCATAATTCTTCTCCAAATCTCTCCACTCTCGGCTCTCCCAAATCTTAAGCATATTTCTTGATGCAAATTATTGTATTTAAATTTTATTAATATGTTAGATTACATATTACAATGTCATGTTATGTATGAATATTATCTTATATGACATCCAATATTACATAGACATCCCTGAATTTTACAATCTGATATCATGGATTTTATTTGTTTAATATTTATCTGATGTCCAACCCTTTGTAGTAGTCCTTCAGAAGCCTCTTCTAAAGTTTTTTAAGCGAAGTATATAATTTTAGGAAATAATTCAAAATCTTGAGACTCATTCAAAATATGATGCTTTAATTTTTCAGCATCTCCTCTACTATATAAATATAAGCTAACCATTTGGTCTCATATTGTATGATGAATATTATTTATCAATGGGTTCATATATTATTGTTTATGGATAACAAAGGTTTTAGATCTTTTATAGGCTTAATTGAACTTAAATCTTTTATAGTTTACAATAATTATATTTATATACCTCCACTTATATCTTGTTGCACATTTTTTAAATTTTAGGTAACATATCTAGCTTGCTGCACTTAAATATCCTAATGTTTTTCAAAATATAATGTTTTTACACTCTGTCCTCTTACATAAACATAAGAATGCTCTTTGTAATTTTCTTATATGAGTTTCATGGTATAATTTTAGAACAATTCTATATTTTCTACTCTTTCCATAAATACTTTATTACCATGCAATTATCTATTAATATATTATTTTACATTACTAATAATTGATATGATGTAGAGTTTTACAATAGCGTTGGAAGTTTTAGGGACCAAATTATACAAACATAAAGTGACGTATACTGTAATTAATTAACAATGATAATTAATTTAGTTTAGTCAGTATTAGAATGTAATATCAACAAAGAATAAGGGAGTATGATTTTAGATGCTTATATACATAGTTAAAATGAAGTTTTAATCACAATGAAATAGTGTTTTTCAGGGAGTAAACCTATATGATGATTTTGTATAAAGTATCGTTAGACGAATGCATTACTACATTACTAGTCGTCGCTTTCCCTCGGCGAGTGATGACTTCTTCCAGTTCTCTGCTTAGTTCAGTTCAGAGAGGAGAAAAATCATTAGTTAATGGTTTCTGATTCAGCTTGACGTATAGTCTGCTTGTAGTATAGCACTAAATTAACGTCATCAATTTCAATCGAGAAAGCAAAAGCAGGAAGAACAGGCGCTGAAAGCCCTTGTTAGCCTTGTTCTTTCACTAATGACATAGCTTACCGACTCTAATCTAATCTTATCTCCAACTCGTGTTTGCAAGTCGCAGATATAGTTCTTATGGACATCTATGAGTTACGTTTGTCTAAAATTATAACATTATGATGATTTTGATGCATCTAATAATAAAAATCTTAACTCATTAACTGGCTTAATTGATCAATGAATAATCTAATTAGAACCCCTTTTTGTATTTATTAACATTTTTAATATGATAATGTTTTCAAAATAGTTTTGGTGTATTCTAACTCTGAAATTCTGCAAAAAATAACATGTATCGATATGCAAACATCGGATCATTCTCAACTAATCTTAATTGATCAAGGAATGATCAAATTAAAAACAAACCTATAATAGTTTATTTCTTTTATTATTTTTTCTGGGGTAAATTGCACATAACCTCCTATATATATACCTTCAATTACACTAACCCCCCTAACTCATTAACTGGCTCTTAACTCCTCTCAATTAATGAGGAAGAAGGGTGGCACTTGCAATTCATTTTTCTCAAAATGCAATTTCGGAAATTCCATGCGGCACTTAATAATTATTTTTTGTGGGGCGGGGCGTGTCAGCATTACATGAGGGGGGTCACGTGCAACTAAGTCCTCTTTCTTCTTCTAATTTCCACTCAGTCCTCTTTCTTCTTCTAATTTCCCCCCTTGAGAATACACAGTTCCAAGAATTCTCCCAGTAAAAAGCACCGGTCTCTCTCTCTCTCTCTCTCTCTCTCTCTCTCTCATGGCCAAATCCTCAAAGCAAATTGTATCAGGTTTCCAAAGGCTTTATCTCCACCGAATCCCATCAAAACCCAATCCCCCAATCCCTAATCCAAGCCCTCTCTATAGGAGAGCTTACTCCACTGAATTCCTCCCAAAACCCACCTCTCAAAATGGCATCTTTTCTCGAATCCTCTCCCAAAACCACAAATTTTCAACCCCAAAACCCTTTTCCCCATCTGGGTTTTCCAATTCAAGGCAGCTAGTTTCAATTAGAAACTTCACTGCTGGGTCTGGGAAATCAATAGTTAAGGATCCTCTATCAAAGATCAAAACTGGAATTTTGCAGTACAGGGAGGCCCTAGGGCTGCAGGTTGAGTCATTTTGGAAGAGGAATTACTTGGTTCTTGTAGGTGCTGGGGGTGTTGTTGTCTGCATTGCTTTATGGAGGGTGATGTTTGGGGTTGCCAGCACTTTTGTGGGGCTTTCGGAGGGAATGGCAAAGTATGGGTTTCTTGCTTTGGCCGCCGCCATGGTTTCGTTTGGTGTGAGTATTTCTCTATCATATTGTGTAATGCCAACTGTTAGAAGGTTCCTTCCAGGTCACAATGCAATGAAAGTTTGTTTTGTTTGTGTACATAGTGCTATTGTAGTTAATTATGGTTGTTAGTTGTGGGCATTGATGGAGAAGCATTGGCACGTGCTTGATGGGTGATGTTCAGACATAACAGATGTGTTTAGGTTTGCATCCAGTAGGACATTTTTAACTTTATGAACTCGTTGGAATCGAGCATATTTTGTAGATCTGGTAGATAAGGAAAAGCATCGGTAAAGATTCATGTTCCCTCTACATGAATTTTTTATCATAAATTGGTGGTTCTATGATAGCATTTAGGACAAAAGGTTTCTAGTCTGCAAAGTTAGACTGCATAATCAGTTAAACCGGCTAATCATTAAAGATTTGTGTGATCTGTCATCCAACACATTTCTCTAACTTTATCTTGGGGTATACACACACAGACGCGCTCATGCGCACACACCCCTGTATACCCTTTTTCACGTATGGACGTCTCCTTATGAGGCAGTGGCTTTTGATGGTTGCCACACTTGTGCTGTGCGTATCATGGGTGGTTATATGTTGAATTTTCCATGTCAAAGGATATGTCAGATTTTCTTTGAAAGTCTTTAGATGCATTTATCCTCCTTTGTACACACAATTTACTTATGCATCTCCCGGCTTTTGTGAAGATGGCTCTATGCCTCTATGGCGTGTCTGAAGTTATTAGAAGAAAGCAATATGACAATCTTGGTTTCTGACTTCAATAGAAAGACCTAAAAAGATATCTTATTATTTTTATTTGTTTATCATTTATCCTACGGTGCAAGATTGCAAATAGTGGCATGTATGGTGATAGGGAATGATGTAAGCTTTTATTGTAAGACATCATGACTCCTTGTTAACAGTTTCGTTTAAGTCAATTTATGTTTTAAGTTTCCTAATAATTCATGCACCTAGTTAACAGTTGTGTTGACAGTAGATAGTTATTAAACGTGAAAATGGTAAAAGGCTGTACGGGTGCTGTAAGATCCAAGCAAAGCCATGGGCTAAACCGTGATGTACTTCATACTATCTGTGCTTTAGGAAAATATTAGTCTTTTCATTGGCAAGAAGACTAGATATTCGAAGTTCTACACATGTAGCATATTGTCCAAAAAAATGAGTGTGTGCAGATTCTTCTGATTGAAAATGTTTTGCGAGTAGATCCAGAATCTCTAGGAATATGTAGCTTAGGTGTGAGTTTAATTCGTCTCCTAATCAGTTAGACTTATTAAATACAAATGATGATTTAAATTGCCCTTTTTGAATTTGCTCATTTAAGAATAGTTTTTGCTCTTTTGTAATGGCACGAAGCCATGAACTGTGGGAAGGGACAGCGGGGTCAGTCGCAGGGAAGTGTTGGTCATGATTGATGCACGGTACATATTATTACACGCACAATAGAAAAGATGAACAGACTATATCACTTTCAATAAATCATACATATGTATGGAGAATGATTAAATTTTGTTTGCTTGCAACTATTTGAGGTATTTACTAAGACAATGGTATCAAAGAACATTGCGATTTGTTTGGAAATATAGAGGGTCTTCAAATTGGATATGAGCTTCTGTATAGAACGTTCCTTACCTTCAATTTTATCCTGAGTGGTTGTTCTGGAAAGACTCAAAGTCTACTCCTGCAGTGGTCTCAGTTGATGCACAGATCAGTATAGGTTAGCTTAAGACACTAGAAGTAATGTTAGACTGCAATTGCATCACATCCAAGTTAATACAATGAATGATAGAAGACTGGTTTCTTGCAGAAACTCCTATGAAAATGTATGATGGAAGTGTATATAGCAAATAGTTTTTCTGGGTCACTCTAGGAATTCCATTCTAGTTAGTGTTAGTAAGTTGATCTTTCTGACCATCTTTTTGGTCATGTCTGATTTTCTTTTTCTATAGTTCTTATTTTGAAGGGCATTATGTAACCGAGTACTCTTCAGAGTTGGGAAATCCTGGGTGGTGTTTCAATAATCTTTGGTATCAGTTTAGGGGTGCATTCGGTCCGGATACGGTTCGGATATGATGCTTACCATATCCATATCCGCTTACCCATCTCGGATATGGATACAGATACAAATATACCTCGGTAAGAAAAATTTATAATCATATCCGCTAAAATCGGATACAGTACATACAGATATATAAGCGGATATGCATGCGGATACTAAACAGATATAAAAAAACTAGATAGTATTGAGAAAAACATAGTTCATGTGATACAAAAGAGTTCGTTAATATGTCCATTATAACTGAAAAGTTAAGATTAGACATCTTGATTATCAAAATTAACCATAAATCCATAATCTAAGAATCGAAACTATCGTAAGAGTACGACTAATATGTATTCGGATATTTCGGATACAAATACAGATATTTCACTACAAAATCATATCCATAACCATATCCTATCGGTTATAGATTTGAGTAACCATATTCGTATCCTAACGGATACGGTTACAGATATTTTCTCGGATACGGATACGGTTTAGCACCCCTATATCAGTTGCTACTGGTCTAGTCTAACAAGCAATAACTACTGTTTAGCCTGCTAGCTGGTTTTAGTCAAATTTAACAAAAAAGTTAATAAAGAAAATGGGAATTTGTTATGGCTGAGGCTTTTGACGATAAATTTATTACAAATTGGTAACAAAGCAATTATTGTGTTTAAAAGTTGACTTAAATCTACTTCTGGGTTCCATGGAATTTGGAGTCAAAAGGATTTTTATTTTAACGCTTTAGGCTTGCTGCCTATCCTACATAGAGTGAAATATGAGACAGAGGGTTTGTTTGTAGTCTAATGCTCTAATTTTAATTCTATAAATTTTAAGCAAGTTATTGGTAGATATAAATCTCCTTGCGAGCAGTGAGAACCAATTATGTAATTAATGGGGGAAGGAACAACCACAAGGCAATAAGAGATGATTTTAGTTTACTAACTAATTGCTGTGAGATGGCAATAGATATAAAGTTTTGGTTTAGAAAGCCTGGATGAGAATATTGGCTGCATCAGTGACGCCTTCCCTAGTGTTACTGCTGCCCCATGTAAAGAGATCAGCAGTGAGGAGCTACTGGATCATGATTCATACATAGCCAAATACAATGAGAAGTACTGAATTGAAGTGTTTCTTGATCACTGCATAGAGATATGTGTTGGTGAATGACACTTGATCCTGAATCAAGGAAATTAAATCTGCAAACCGTTACGTGTATGTGCTTCCAGTATTTTGACTTGGTGAGCTAACTCCATTTGATACACAATCAAACAGTATACATATATGTAAATATACATGGTGTTGTAGATGTAGATGACTAGATGTAGATCTAGATGGCAAAGTCGATGTGGATGTTTATTTAGATGTAGATACCTATAAATGCTATTTGGAAAACAAATCATAAAGTAGAAGCCTTATTGGGTTTCTTTCCCCAAATTTTCTAGACGAAGTAAAGAAAAAAATGATAATATACCAATACTGTTTCCTTGTATAACCCCAGTTTCCTCCTTTGAGTTCTCATATACAAACAAGGAAACTACCTCCTCTACTTCCATGGGATTCAGACGGAGTGGAGAATTCAAGTTTATTTCTCCTATCAAAATTTCATATGCCAGACAGTTGACTGATTATAAGCTTATTCTCCTGTTCCCATTGATATGTGATCCGGCACCTTCAAATTCATAGATCTTTTTGCTAATCAACTTGACAGTTTATGTTAAGCTGACAGCTGGTCAACTATATGTCAAATTCTACATGGATTTTTGTGAATATTCAGATCTTTAGTCCATTTCATTGTCACTGTATGATGGGTCTTGCTATACTTCAATAACAAGATGAAATTAAAAAAAATACATAATTGGGAAATCACAATGATAAATCTGCACCCATCAAAATTTTCTGCACCATATTTTTAACCTTTCTTTTCATGGCTCTCTTTTCATTCATGAATCTATAGTCCATTAATGTTGCATTTCTAAGAGGGATACAAACCATTTGGTATATTGACATTGCATGTATAGCTTAAAGTGCATTGTGTTTCATAATTTTAAGTCGTCTGTTGTACCTCCTTCATTGGGGCCATTCTCAATTTAGAGGGGAGAAATTTACCCAACCTCACGCTGATGGAAACCCAAATAGGGAAGCTGTGTTATTCCTGCAACTCACTGCTAATGAAGTACACACTTAACTTTTTCCTTTATCTCCTATATTTCCTTGTCTGCCGTGTATGGACATATATTTCATATTGGCTTCTGCTCGATGTAGTACAGGATATCTGAAGTTTATTTTCTTCCAGTTCCTAGCCCTGTGAGACTTGCAATCTGAATCTAACATTATCTCTTAAATACTGAAAATGTTCTTGTTGATTTGTAGAGCATGTATGTTACTTTCAAAGAACATGCATCTTGTGCTGTCTTCTGTCTTTTCGAAGTATATACTACACGATATCTGTATAGTTTTTTCCCTCTAGGTTTTGTAGACTGTAGGAGTACAGTTTGAATCTACCAGCATTTTTTTTAAAAATTGGAGAAGACATCTTTTCTTATTGCAGGGCATGTACATTAGGTCAAGGTTGTCCATCAATCCTGATAAGATATATCGGATTGCGATGAGAAAGTTGAACACATCTGCTGGAATTCTTGAGGTAATGGGTGCCCCTCTAACTGGGACAGATTTGAGAGCATATGTGATGTCAGGAGGTGGACCAAAACTAAAGAATTTCAAGTTCAAGCTTGGTGGAAAGCGCTGTTTTCTCATATTTCCCATTCGTGGATCTGAAAGGAAGGGCCTTGTGAGCGTTGAGGCCAAGAAGAAAAAAGGCCAGGTTAGTTGAGCCATCGATCAGAGCTTCAGGAATAATGGGTTTCATTTCTTGAGTGCGTTGATCCTCCATTGGGTTGTCTAGTAAATTCATTGAAATATATTACTGATCAGTACCATGTCACTAAAAATCTAGATAATTTTAGATGCGTTCAATTCATCAAAATCCAATTTGCAACACTGAGAGAGGAGAGTGCTACTTCTTGGGCATTAGAGTTATTATCTAGTTAATTTCCATGATTTGATTAACTTGTGTATCGGAACTATTTGTATGTTGATGTTCAACACAAATTAATGCATCAACATTGCATGCCAGGAGATTGAGATATGTAGCCAAAGTCGATAGTCATTCCATTCTGTAAACAGCTGTTACTTTATCATATTACTATATAATCAAGCTTATATCTTGTTCAGATTGTCTTTCTTGGGATTAACGTTCTGATGATATCTGAACATTATTTTGGATCCTTGCAGTATGATATCAAGTTGCTTGCAGTTGATATACCAATGTTGCAAGGCCCTGATCAGAGGATTTTCATAATCGGGGACGAGGAAGAGTACAAAATTGGTGGGGGCTTGATCTCTGAATTAAGAGATCCCATAGTAAAAGCAATGGCTGCTGAAAAAGAATTTGAGGATCTCGATCAAAAGGAGGAAGAGGAAGATGAAGAAAGAGAGCGCGAGGAGGCAGAGAGAAAGCACCAACAAGAGAGAGAGGAAGCAATTGGAGAAGAGAAAGAAGTCAGCATGAGCTTAGGAACCTGGAGGAGGAAAATTATGAAATGGTGATTCACATCTTTTCCATAGTTTTTGACAAATAATTAAGTCATAACTTTTGCGCATTATAGTTATCTGACAAAATACAGATATCAGAAGAATTTGACTGCTCGTTCTCTATCATCCACGCCGACCCGCGCCCACTCCCTCACTATTCATCCCCCCCCTTAAAGAAAAGTTGAGGTCGTCAACTAAAAATTGAAATTTTATCATCGAAATTTTGATGCGCGTAAAATTTCCGGATCATTCTTTCTCGATCAGGGGGTCTTTGTTGAATGATCATCTGTGAGACACATGAGATTACTCTGTTCTTGTATAAAGGTTTTTCACTGCTTCTGAGTGATTATCCACATACCATTATTGGTTTTAAATACAGTATAACGCTTCTGTCATTTGATAGCACTTTTTTTTGTCCCTCGGACTCATCGTTCTCCAGCACCCTGATCATTTGATTTACTTTTTCCGCAAGCAAATAAAGTTACCCTCATAACGAAAATTTCACATAGAAAAGCTTAAGTGATTTACAAGCGACAAGATACGTTACAAGTTCAAGTTCTTGTAATGAATACTTCAGGCTAACAAAAATTTCACAATATTAGCAGCAGCACCTAAATTGCTTCAACCTTTGAATACATTGTTTGACATCTTTGCCAGAAACAAATTAATGCTTTAAAGCACATTATGTACTCATCTCAGCCAAATGTTCAGCTCCATCCCTTTTAAAGTATCTCTCAAAACACCCAAAGAATGAAATATATACCCAAGAAATAAAAACTTTAACTTCAAAATCCACCAAAAAGTAAAAAAGAAATAGAAGCAGCAAAGCTGCTCTCCTCAAATATAAACTGTATTAGGAGAACAATTAACATAGCGTCAGGTCATACAATTTTTTTCCAACAAATTAATTAGCATTTTGTGTGGCAGAATATTCACATACACAGAACAATAAGTCCTGCTAGCAACAAAAGGAGCCTTGTAATTGAGGCGGGAAAAAAAAGCCGTGGTGCCTCTATTTATTTTGATCTTTGCCTGATCATTTTAAGAATAGAAAAATGACTCGCAACAAAATTATGACAATTCTCAAGGTCAAGAGAGTTGGTTTGGGTAGTGCTCTACAGGACATGAATAAATGACCATGGATCTCTTGAGGGGGAGGAAATGGAGATCTCTTATTATCGAAGAATTCTTATTGCAGAAAAGAAACGAGAGGACTGTGCAACTCAATTATCCATCTTCCCAAAGAGGCGCTTCCTTATCTGCAGAGGGCAAACCAGAGATTGTAACCATGCTCATAATAAACAATAGTCTAAAACTTGTGAGACAAATATATGTGGATATTATACTGGAGCAAGAAGAACCTAAGTTCAAAAACAGGTGCATGGTATTGGCAGCTGTTCAACTTGGGATATTGGTAGTTTTCACTGTTCCAGATTGAAGTTTAGATTTCTAATAGCAGATACGTATTACCCCGCTATTGAAGATTATTTTTTAAAAAATCACTTGCGCAAGCACATGTCTATGGATACAAATAAGTTCCAGATGAGAAATATCACCCCTTTCCTTTATAAGGTTAACAAATTACATAATAAATTTAAGGGGAGAACAGGTAACTAAAATATATATGCATAACTAATTTGAAAATCGTAAATATAAGATCCTTATAACAAATTAAAACAGTATATGATGAGTGTAAGTTTTATATAACAAATTAAACCAGTAGACTTGCCAATTTAACATCTTAGAAAGTCCTTTACTTTGCATGTGGCCGCACATGTTTCTTAAAACCAAAAAGTGAGATGGATAGAGATTCTGGTCAAGAGACAATAAATTGGCTGAGACAAGATATCAGGCAAGAGCGAAAAGCGGGCCTCAAATCTACTTCCGCATATTTGGCAAGTATGACACTGCAATAAGCTGCAGCGCTAGCAGCTAGCCATGTACTCAGAATCAGACATCATTAATACGTACTTGTAAGGTTTCTTAGGGATTCATTATGTCAGGAGGACACATTTGGTAAGATTTGATAAGAAAAATGGTAGGCTGCATAAATTGACAGTCCAAACCATCAGTCAGGTCCAGGCAACTTGTGCTTGAGTTCAAGCATAACCCAGAATGAGAACCAGGTTTTCAGCCGAAACATGAGCAATTCTAAAACTGCAACCAAATCCAAACCAACAAGAAGTTTTAGCAGCATTCATGTAAGCCTAACCAATGTTGGAAAGTGCTAGAAGGATTCATGTCAGCCTAGCCCATGTTGCAAATGAAACCCATATAACATGATTTGAGTTTTGCCACAAGGTATTATACTATTATGTAGATTTGGCATTTGAGGACTAACCTCGGGTAATTTCTGCCTAAAAACAACCTCCAGTCTGGCATCCAGTGTGTTCTCACATACAATTTTCCCATCTTGTGAAGCCAACACAACACCTCCAGAGCTGCAAATAAGTTGAAATACAAGATATGATTGACAAAAAGTTCATTATAGCAAATGAGAGATTTTTTTTAATGTGAAACAAGATACTTATCAAGACAACAGGTAAAGCATTATATTAACTAAAAAATCATCTACTTCTCACAATCTACAATATTTAAGAAATGCATGCACACAAGAAAGATTTTTATTACTCTCCCTGTAGCACCAGCCTAAGTACAGCATTTCTATACCACTTGATTACCTTGAATATATTTCAATTCCAAATAGCCTATAGTGGAAATCATTACTTTGACGCATTAAATTTTAATTAACTAATTCTCTAATGAACACCCCATCTACAAGTAAAGAATAGTTTCGCATGTGAAAATATATCCTTAACAAAGACACTGTAGCACGTGCAACTCAATAAATTTATCCTTGCAGTAACAGTAAATTGCGTACTGACTAAAAAATTTGAAATGCTTTTGCTAAGTACCCCAGGATGCTACAAGTTGAACAAAACTTCCAAAAGTATAAGGAGGGAAAAAGGTTTCCCCATATAAGGAGAAAACCATATGAACCACGTCCAACAAGCTGTAAATAGCAACAAGCAAAATATGCCAAAATGCAGAAACAATGATGTAATTGATTCACTACAAGTACAGAGATCAAAGTTAAAAAATTTCTATTGTATTAAAGCCACACACCAAAAATCTTAAATCAGAAATTATCCAAGAAATAAAAGTTAATTTTGCATATTAGTACAAGTTAAGAAAATTACCAAGAAAGACCATGTCCCTTATCACCTGCTGGAGGCGGTGGAAGATACACGTGGTCATCAATAGTAATTTTAGGAGCATGAACTTTAGCTTTCTCTGCATATTCTTGTTTTGCAGCATCCAAAATTGATTTTATCAGTTTAGTATCCATCTCTCTACAGCGCAACAAGACAGATGGCTCTTTCAGTCGCAGCAAACTCTGTGATTTCAAAGAAAAACAGATCCAGTCACTAAATATCATTCTGAACATACAAATAATATGTAGAAATAGGTAAGGGATACAGTTGCCAGAACCTTTGTTTTCCTGAAGAGACTAAAAAATTTGAATTCATAAGAAATTAGGAGGCCATAAACTGTAAATAATCATGAGAGACTCCATCTCAAGTATTATCTAAGGAGTTCAATGTGAGCTGTCTATCTATTCTATAAAGCAGATTTTCAACCAAAACCTGAATATACTGAAACTTTTAAGTCCTCAGCTGACCTCAGTTTCTATGAACGAGAACATGCGATCACTGGTGACTTGTCATAACACACTTCATTTCCCAATATATTTCCTCTTATTACAACAACAAAAAAGAATCCTTTAACCCAAAATTTTTAGACTGGCTTTTCAGACAGGCTTATTCATAATCATTAATTGGTCATAAGTTGCTCTGCAACACGTTTTCCTTATTCATAAACATCATTTGATCATAAAATGATTATGACGTAGGTCCTGTATGTCTCCCTGACTAATGAAACACAAAATAATGGCCAAACATCGAATATATAAGTTGCCTGCATCATACCTGAACAATCAAGTCTTTCAGAAGTTTTCGATAAGCCTCAGTATTGCCAGAAACACGTAGAAGCTCCTTGCTAGCAGATTCTTTCATAGAATTCACCAAATCATCTTGAGCTTGGAGAACTTTAATACGCGATGCATTTAGCTGCATTGAGTACTCACTGCAGAGATAATGCACCATAAAAATATGACAATAAACAAAGGTAACATAACAAAAGATGACACAGTATTATCGAACGTGGGAGCTCGTGCAGTTGATAGATTCAGTTTCTTATGGTGGAAGAGGTCACAGCGTTTGCCAGGTTGCCTGCCTCTTCAGAGGTGCTTTCTCCCCTAATAATGGTAAGAATGGGAGTTTTCCATATTTCTATTTGAAAACAAACACGAGATTACATAACACAATGAATACATCCAATATCATGTCAGGCGCCGAAAGCAATCAGCCGACTTCAGCCTCAAATTTTGACAAATAAAAAGTTAAAGGAAAAGAAAACAAAAATGGCGGGCCCCACAGCATAATAAAATATTAATATTTTACTATGCTGTAGGGCCCGCCATTTTTGTTTTCTTTTCCTTTAACTTTTCATTTGTCAAAATTTGAGGCTGAAGGCAGCTGATTGCTTTCGGCGCCTGACAATCTCCCACTTGAAGATTTGATTAAGTATCAATCATATCTTCACACCATTCTTTTTATCTTGCCATCTTCATGTTGCTTACGTCTCCGACAGACCACAGAAGGATCGACACCAAATAAATTTGTCGGTATTGACTGCTTTTGTCAAAAAGTATGCTAGGTTGTCTTTGGTGTGAATTTTCTGCATATCCATTGTTCCTTCTTCCACTTTCTCACGAACGAAGTGGTACTGAACTCGAATGTGTTTGGTCTTTGAATCAAAGGCTGGATTTCTTGCCAAATGCAAAGCACTCTGTCTGTCACAAAATAAAGATATATTTTTTTGTTCATAGCTGAGTTCCTCCAGCACCATCTTCAACCATATCGCTTCTTTACTGGCTTTTTTTTTTTGTTCATATTCTGCTTCTGTTATTAAAGTAGCCACAACTGACTGTAGTTTTGAAACCCAGCTTACAGCTCCGCCAGCAAGTGCAAACACATAGTCTGTGGTGGATTTGCTATTATCACGATCACCTGCATAATCAGAATCAACATATCCACTGACAATAAAATCAAATCCTCCATAACATAATATAACATTTGAGGTTCCCTTAATGTATCTTAGGACTCTCTTTACAGCATTCCAATGCTCTTTACCAGGATTCGTCATGTATCGACTAATTACTCCAACTGCTTGTGCAATGTCTGGTCTTGTACAAATCATAGCGAATATTAAGCTTCCTACTGCTGATGCATACGGTACTCGAGACATCTTCATCCTCTCTTCTTTACTGCTAGGACTCATACTAGAGGATAACTTAAAATTAACAGGAAGTGGGGTAGAAATTGACTTACAATCTTGTATGTTAAAGCGCTGTAAGATTTTGTTCAAGTAATTCTTCTGAGAAAGTCAAATATTCCTATTAATTCTATCTCGGTAAATTTGTATTACTAGAATCTTGTTTGCAGATCCTCAATCATTCATTTTAAATTCCCTAACCAACTGAGCCTTTAATTCTTTGATACGATCTTTGTTGGGGCCTACAACCAACATATCGTCAACATACAATAATAAGATAACAAAGTTATTTTTACCAAACCTTTTGAAATATGTACAAGGGTCTGAATTAAGTCTGTTGTATCCAAGACTCATGATGAATGAATTAAATCTCTTATACCAACACCTCGGCGCCTGTTTTAGACCGTACAGAGATTTGTTCAATCTGCAAACCAAGTTCTTTTTTCTTCTTCAAAACCTTCTGGTTGGAGCATGTAAATTTCTTCTTCAAGATCTCCATAAAAAAATGATGTTTTCACATCTTGCTGCTCTAGATGTAAGTCAAATATAGCGCTCATAGCCAGGACTATTCGGACTGTTGTAAGTCGAACTACAGGCAAAAATATTTTATTAAAGTCAATACATTCTTTTTGAGCATACCCTTTTACCACCAATCTAGCACGTTGATGACTCTCCATCCTCCGTTAGAAGACAGTATGCAACATTACTCTTCGTAATATACTCCGAGTGTCAAGTCGGTGGTCTTCTCTCACGAGTTAATCTTCGAATTTCTGGAGCCTCAGACACGACCGGTTCTTGTACATCATGCTCCGGTGTTGCTTCAGAAGAATTTGAATTATCTTCTACCTGAACAGGTACAGTCTCTGAGTCCTTCCTCGAACTGCTTTCTTTCTCTTCACTTTATAGTTGGTTCTCTACAAAGATAACATCTCTGTTGATGATAACCTTACGGACAGTAGGATCCTACAGGAGATACCCCTTTACTCCATCAACATATCCTAAGAATAAGTATTTTCTAGAGTTTGAATCCAGCTTTGTAATTTCTTGGGCATTATACATTACGTACGCTGGACTTCTAAATATATGGAGGTTAAAGTAATCAGCTGGCTTGCCAGTCCACATCTCCATCGGCGTCTTCAACTGTATTGCGATTGATGAAGATCGATTCACCACATAACAGGTGGTTTTTACTGTTTTCGTCCAAAAGACTTTATCCAGATTTGCAGTTGTCAACATAACTCTTGTTCTTTCCAATAGAGTTCTGTTCATCCGCTCCGCCACTCCATTTTGTTAAGGAGTATAAGCCGTACTAAATTATCTTTTAATGCCTTCATGCTTGCAGAATGCTAGGAATTCACCGTCTGTGTATTCTCTTCCATTATCTGGGCTCAAGCATTTGATCTTCTTCTCAGATTCAAGCTCGACCCGTGCTTTGTAGGTTTTAAAGACTGAAAACACATCAGCCTTCTTCTTGATAGGATACACCCAATATCTCCTGGAGTATCATCAATAAATGACACAAAATACTTTGTTCCTCCCAATGATGTAACCGGTGCTTTCCATACATCAGAATGAATCAGTTCCAGAATAGCCTTGCTTCTAGAACTTGATGTTTTGAACTTCAGCCGATGCTGCTTCCTTGTAACACAATGCTCGTAGAATGGAAGAGCTACCGGATTAAGTCCAGAAAGCAGCTTCTGATCGGAGAGAATCTTCAAACCTCATTCTGACATGTGGCATAGTTTGTGATACCATATAATGGTTTGTTGTTCTCCACGATTGGTTGATGCCACACATGAATCAGCTTCCTGCAGGATTTCTCCCTTGAGCATATATAGATTTACAACTATCTTTTCTCCTTTTATTATCACAAGCGTCCCTCTAACAATCTTTATGATCCTATTTTCTATATGGGTCTTGCACCCGAGCTCATCTAATTGTCCTAAAGATAATAGATTCTTCTTCAAGCCCTTCACATGTCGCACATCTTGAATGGTGCGTATTGTACCATCAAATATTTTGATTTTAATAGTATCAATATTAAAAATCTCCAAGGCATGATCATTCCCCATGAATATAGATCCTCCTGAGATAGGTTCATATTTGTAAAACCATTCTCTCCGGAAGGTCATGTGCCAGGAGGCTGCTAAATCCAAAAGCCAGACATCAGCAAATCTCTTTCTGTCTTTATCAATAGTGGTTGCTCCACTGAATAGAATTTTACCATCGCCTGATGTGCTGACAACGCATCCTTGAGATGTTGATGGCTCTGAAGACTTTTTTATCTCCACTCTTCTTATTGTGCCAACACTCCGATTTGACGTACCCTTTTTTATCATAGTTATAGCATTTGATATTCTTCTTACTTCGTGATTTTAATCTACCATGGGTATGACTCCCACTGGAGACACAGTCCATTGATCTTCCTCTCGTCACCGTTAAAACCTTCGCTTGTTGCGAACTTGCATGCATGTCTTCCTTATTCTTGCGCCGATTTTTTCCTCCAGAACAGCGGCTGCAACATTGTCGAAGACTAGATTGTCCGTGAGAATGTTGTTTGTCAGGTTGATAATGAGTTGATCATATGAGTCAGGTAGACTCTGAAGTAGAAGTTCTGCACGTTCATTGGCACCGATTGCATACCCTAATATTGTGAGTTGGGAGAACAATGTGTCTAGGTGTTGATGTGGTCGGTCATCGATGTAGATTCCGCCATCCTCAGAGTGTAAAGTCACCTTTTTAAGAAAATTTTGTTGTGCATGGATTTTACCTCATATAGCTTTGTTAGAGTATCTGAGATCTCCTTTGCTGTCTTCTTCTCCTCTATGCTTGACAGCACCCCGTCTGCTAATGTCAGATAAAGATTTACAATAGCATTTTTGTCCATCTTGTTTCACTTCTTATCATCTGTGATGTCGTTCGGTCTTGTACCGATGGCCGCTAGATAATTATTTTTTCTCAAGATAGCCTTTATCTTCAACTTCCACAGTAAGAAATTACTCCCGTCGAATTTCTCGATCTTGAACTTTGCCGCAATTGCTTCTACCACGAACAATAACTTTTTACTATCTCACGTAAACAGTAACTGTATTTATGAACAGTAACCATATATGTGAATAGTGTTATACTTGTGAATAGTATCGTATTTATGAACAATATTATACTCGTGAATAGTACCCATCACCTTCAAAGGGTAAATGATAACCTAACTTATTTTCTGATATGAAGGATCCACTTTTGGTGGCAGTCACAAAACATACGATAAGTAGATATATACAAACATCCTAAGTTGGCTCTGATACCACTTGTTGGGACAAATTCAGGGCCCAATAGAGCAGAATCGCAGCAATAGTAGAGCAAAAGTAGAGATACAATGATAGACACACAGATTTACGTGGTTCGACACTTGATTGCCTACGTCCACGGACAATGATAGAAGAATTTACTATGAGGAGAAAACTCTAGAGTTACAATCTCTCTTAACAAGGAGATACTCTGGGTTTGTCCCAACATATCACAAGTATATGCAATTATGCATCTTGATGTACAATAAAATCACCAACAGCTTCAGATAGACAAATGAGTGGAAGCTAAACAAAGCATCAAATTTGCAATTCTCTTCCAGATGCCATTTCAAATTGGAACCATAAAGGCTTCATAGAAATCACAAGCTTTTGCTGCATGTTTACTACTTCAGTTCACTCAGTTCAAATGGATACGATGATCCATTTTGAATTCTCACAATCACATAAATGCTGGCTAGATCCAGAGAGGTTACTCTATGAAGGTTTTCGCAATCGAGGAGTTCAAGACAATAGTGGGTGGGCGAAGGTGAAAAGATGTTCATAAGCATCTGCCAGAAATGCATAGAATTCCAGTCGATATGAAAGTCTACCATCAGCATCTCAGATATAGAAATTCTGATTGAATATTCAAATGCATTTTCCAGAAACCAGATCGATCCGTTACATATATAGGGCTTCATTAAAAAAAAAAAAGAGCAAAGGCAAAGCAACTTAACGTGTAAGAAATCATAGCACTGATATAGTAAGTTAAAGTGAGATAGAATAAGATGTCTCCCCTTATAAATTAGATGATGAAAACTTTGCAGTAATAAGGAATTTAAATTTCGAGATAATTGAGTACTTACATTTTTCTGCGGATGTCAACCTGTTTTTCTTTACGCTCATATTCTTGACGAATCTTCCTTTTTTCAGCTTCAACAAGCTGCAATTTTTCTATGTTGAATTCCTAAACACAAAAAACATTATCAAACTCAACCAAATAAGCTGAGGAAAAAAAAAAAAAAAAGAGAACTCAGATACAAAGTAATAGAATACTATATTCATTTCAAGACAAAACAGCATGACCTATCGCAAATTCAGAGACCATTCATAATTATATCACAACCATAAGAGAGTGGTCAAAGAACCAAGAATCCGGTAGCACCCAGAATGGACAAGTTTTGGTGAATGAAGAGCATAAGAAAATTCAACAAAAAGTTCAGTAAAGTTCTAGTACAAAAAATCAAACAATTCGCCCTCGTATAGATACAACGAAACTCACATAATTGTACAACTCGCTAATAAGGTTATAACCACCAATAAAAATTATAGAATATAAGAAACAACGACAGACTTTCATCATTTGATATATTATTATATGTAAGAAGAAACAATCCACCTTTTTAACTTCAGAGTCTATTCTTCATCAATGCATAAGTAGTTCCAAATTATCCGTGAAGAAACAGGTTTTCCCGTACAAATAAATAAATTTATGCACACAAAGAAATTAGCATTGTGATGTTTTGACTAGTTGAGAAACCAATAATTTTTTTTACACTTTGCCACGACATGACTCTTAAATGACAAATTAGTAAAGACCTCGTCATGAATCAACAAGTGTCAAATGATTCAGAAACAACTAAAACTAATCAACGTAGCCTAAAATCATCACAAAAACCAACCAAAATGCGATTTTGACGAAAACCCAGATGGCGAACCTCGATCAGAAACAAAATTCGATCAAAAAAATTATGGGGGGAAAAAAAACCTCTTCAGCGGAGAGAGAAATCTCGCTGGCTTTTTCCTCGGCCTCCTGCCGAATGAATCGGACCATCTGCTGGATTTGCTTCGATACATCGGAGTCATTCATCGTTTACTCCCTCTCGTATCTCCTCGCTCTGAGTTACAAGAATTATAGAGTTTTCTTCGTGCTCCAAAATTTTCTAATAAATCAGGATCTGATCCCTAACCACGAAAATAAAAAAGAGAGAAGAGAATCAGATAAGAGATGGAATCTTACGCGATTGCAGATAAAGGAAAAAATGAAATGCAACCGTGACTCCTCTTGTTGCTCCCTGCATTTGGTTCTTTTAGCGGGTGCAGACCCGACCCAAGTTTGGCCCGAATACTTGAATTTGGGTTCTTACGTCACGTTTCATTGAAACCTGATAAATAGATTAATTAATTAATTAATTTTTCAACATATTGGAACCCCAAATCTTCTCCCTCAAATAATTGATTTCGCTATTAGGTCCCTCAAATCTTATGCGTTCTCTTGCATTTACTCCAATAGTTAGTTTTTCAAATGAAATTTGTAGGGGTTGGGGTGGGGTGGGGGGGGCTTATTTTCTTTTCCTTTTTTTTTCCAGGTGATGATGCGAATTTGTATGAGAAATTTTTAGGTGAGATTTAGCGGAACAAAAATGTTTCGGGTGTCACGTGCAAAAACTACTAAATATCAGGGGTTTTATCGGAATAAAAAAAGGTAAGGTGGTTTTACTGAAACACTCCCCAAAGACCAGGGGTGTTTTCTGAAATAGACTGTTTTCTGAGATAACGCAATAATGTCGTTACGTAGTGAAGCCATTGTCTACTCCTCAAGAGGGATTCAATATTTGCCTCAAGCTCAAAAATAGGAAAATTAAAGGTACTAAGTTGAGAATACTCTCAGGGCAACTATTCGATCCCACGGTATCTAAATGCAAGTGTTCTATAATAGTACGTAGTTGTTTGTGTGAGTGCGTATGCTTGCTTTTTTTTTAATAAAAAAAAAAATTTTGGGACAGTTTTTCTTCACTTGTTTGATGACACATTAGCAACTTAATCCCTTAATATTTGAAGGCTTCAGTGAAGAAGCCACAGCAGTAGTTCAAAAACCCGGAGATCGATCGAGAAAGTCAACAATTAAATGAGCTAGAAAGGCACAGTACTAATATCCCGAAATATTCAATGTACCCGAAGCTAACTCGCCAGCAACGGAACAGGAATCCTCATGCAAAACTACTGACATGTGAAGAAAATGAAGAAATTAAAGCATAGTTTACCTGCATTAATAAATCCAAGTAGATTGTAGCATATGACCGTAACAAGAGCTGCAATGATCTATTCTGTAGAGCCATATCCCATGCATGCTTGCATAAACTTACATCTGTTCTCGTTACGGTCAACGCAACCGGAGGGAATGCCTGAGACTGAGTGCCAATACTTTCCACTGGGCGTACACTGCGTCGCCAGCCGAGACCCGCTACTACCGCAGATGATAAGAGATCGAAGCTTTGGGAGTTGCTGTTCAAAACTCTTCGGAAATGAAGTCAATAGAGGGCAGTCCATGATATGCAGCCTCTCAAGTTGAGTGAGAAGTCCTAACCTGTGTGTATAGCTCAGATAGCTGCAACTCACAATTCTCAGTTCTGTAAGTGTATTAAGGCGTCCGATCCATTCTGGAAAAGATGTCCATTTTACGTATCGGATTGCCAAATATTTAAGCGCAGTAAGGTGTACAAGAGACCGAGGCAAAGATAACAGCGTATCGGACCCAACATCTAGGACCCGGAGATTGGTTAGACGTCCGAGACACTCTGGCAATTTAGTCATTGAAGGGCAATTGGTAATCTCTAGCTTCTCTAGTGCGGTGAGCCGTGCTAGCCCATCTGGCAAACTTTTCAAATTTTCACATGACTTGATCGATATAACCTTGAGATTAGTGAGTAGCTCCAAGTTCTCTGACAATGAGTACAGGTTTGGGAGGTTGAGAAAACTTAGCCCCCGAAGAGATGAACCAGGTAACTCTATTGGATTGCCCGTCAGTTTATCACACCCTGAGAGCTCAAGTCTTTCGAGTGCGGTAAGGTGTTGCAGTTGCAGGCTCCTTCCTTCTGTAACTACTGATGAACCGACAAGATTGTTGCAGTTGTTAATGTCTAGATACTTGAGGGAGCTCAGACGGCGCATGAAATCATCTGACAGCGTTATTAGTTCGTCGCATGATTCTATTGATAAAGACTCCAGCTGCCTAAGAAACGGCCTCGGGTATCTTGGTTCCCTTTCGGTTAACGAAAATACCAGCTCGTTACATTCATATACATACAGTTCATTCAAGGAGTTCATTTTATGGAAGAAGCCTTGTTTTGGGCGAAAAAGAGGGCATCTGCTCACCCGTAGAGTTTGGATAGATGGTATATGTGGAATTGTTCTTAGCTTGGGGCAATCACGGATTTCTAGGTCGTTAAGCTGATGGAAATATGTTGATGCTCCTGTAACTTGTAGTTCCATCCATTCTTCCAAATTAGCCATTTCAACTAACATGAACGCCTTCAGTGATGGGAATGCTTCAATTATATTACTTCCCTGGCCGCCATAGAAATCATTTTGATTGCTTCCAAGGTGCTGAACTCCAGCCATTCCCTGTATGCTCAGAACCTCAAGAAACCGGAGCTGGCCAAGCGACGGGAGATAGTCGCATCTGCTGCAATTATACAGATAAACCTCAACCAAATTTGGCAGATGCACCTCACACTGCATCATCCAGTCTGGAAAAATAGCTCCTCCATATTCTTCTATTCTCAACCACTTAATGTTCCTATGAGGTTGAAGAGCTTCTATCACCTCCTGAAAGTTCTCCTTACTGGGATCACAATTCCATGAGAGATGCAGAGACAAAAGATCATGTTTGGAACATAAGTTTGCTTCTTTGGCATCTGAAGCAATCTTCACATTATTAAGACCATGTAGTTGTAGTTCGCCTCTGATGTTCAGGTGTTTCAGCTCTCTTATGTTTCCACTGCTGGCTTTGTTGCCAAGAACATACACTGATAGTGTACGTAAGCCTGTTAAATTCCCCATACCTATTGGCATATCGGTTAGCGCATCACACCCACCGATATATAAATGCCTAAGTTTTTCCATGTTCTTGATCCCCATCGGAAGTTGACGAAGATTTTTACAGTTCTCTAGTTTCAAAGTTTGCAGATGAAAAAGGCGACACGTGGCTTCTGGCAAAGTTTCTATATCGGTGCGTGATAGATCCAGGTACCTTATATGCTTCAAATTGTCGATATCTCGCAATGCCTCCTTTACTTTAACTGATGGTAGAGCTAACACCCTTAAGGACTTGGCTTTCAACCAGACATGTAAATGACTCACGGTAGATTCATGAAAACTATTCAACTTAAAGAGTGTGTGCAAGCTCTTGGAGAAATTACATATGGCCCTACCAATTCTCGTTTCAGTAGCTTTCCCATTAAATGAGACATGACGCAATTTAGCACCCTGACTTCCTTCTGGCTCCTTATCTTCAAGAATGCTGCATACATTTTTAGCAATGGCTTGTGAAAGGTCATGAATAAGATCATGCATCTTACAGTATGTGGTTGTCCTGTAACCATAGAATTTATTTTCTTCTACAATTTGCAAGAAAGAACTTGCTACCAATTCATCAAACATCTCTTTCCCCTTGTCTTCAATCTCCATACCCCCTTCGCATTGGAGGAAACCATTAGCCATCCATAGTTGAATCAATAGCTCCTTGTTCATGTTATAGTCCTTTGGGAATATAGCAAAGTAAGCAAAGCATTCTTTCAAATGAGAAGGCAAGTGATCGTAGCTCAGCCTCAAGGCAGGTAGGATGCCATTCTTCGAGGCTGGTAAATTCCAAGTTTCACTCTCTAACACAGATAACCACTCCCTTTCATCCGTTTTTAAACGCATGAAGCTCCCCACCATCTCCGCTGCTAGAGGCACTCCTCCCAACTTTTTGACGATTTTCTTCCCGATATTTACCAACTCATAAGGCTCGGCAGGTCCACTCGCAAATGCTCTCTGCTTGAAAACACACCAACAGTCTTCATCAGACAATTGAGCTAACATGTAAGAATCTGTGGTTCTCATGATGGATGAAACTATGTTGCTTCTTGTTGTCACCATAATCACACTCCCTTGAACGCCTTGTGACAATAAAACTCTTAGTTCTCGCCACTTAGTTTCATCTTCATTCCATACATCATCAAGCACTAGGAGATATCTCCTCGAACCTAGAGCTTTTTTAAGTTTGCTCTGCAACAGTTCCATGCTCAAATCATGACACGGCTTTCCCGTGGCTGATTCGATAACTGCTTGGATGAGTCTTTTAACATCAAATTCTTCAGAAACACAGACCCACATGAGTAGTTGAAAATGCCCTTTAACCCTTTGATCATTGTAGACAATTTTGGCGAGTGTTGTCTTTCCTAGCCCTCCCATACCGACAATAGGAAGGACTGAAACATGGTCTCGATTATCTACGGAGCGAACCAACACGTCTACAACTTTATCTTTATCCTCTCTTCTTCCAACAACATCAGATTCTATAACAAAAGAATGTGTCTCTGTTCTCTTATTTTTTCCAAGCCGGAGACCGCTAGATGTGCTCAGATGGAACTTAGCTCTCTCGGCAGCAACGCTATCCAATCTCTCCACAATTTCTCCAATCCTACGACAGATTCTTGCATGAAACAAAATCGGGTTTCTATAGGAGAAGAAGTGGCTTACCTTGCGCGTAAGTTTGTCCCGGGACTCAATCTCCTGTCGCATGAATTCCCAGTGGAACAAATCTAGTATATCGTCAGCGTCGGAGGCAGCATCTTTGAGCTTCATCAACCAGTCTCTGAGCGAACGGTTCTTGAGCTGTTGATCATCTGCATCTTCAAGAACTGCCAGGATAGTGGAAAGGCTGCTCTTTAGCTTCAACATATCTTTGTGCACTTTGGCACCCCGTAATGTTTTGAAGTGGTCAATGAGGAGGGGTATCAGAGAGGCCGTCTTCTCGAAAACTACCTGCATAAGGGCAGCTATAGCAATTGTTTCAGCCATTGCTTTAGAGAATCCAAGGGTTGAACCTTAGCTCTTATGCAGGTAGTGAGAAGGGGGGAGAAAAAATAGTAAAGAAGAAGATCAAACATATGGGGTTCTTATGCATTGTGTCTAGTCAATAACAGAGGGTTTTGTTTTCCACAAAGACTCATTTTCCTAAGTATTTTCCTATGACCTTCCCTTCTAAATTTCTCTCCTGTTTTCTAATGAAGTGGGACATTTAAGTATATTTTAATTAATTTGGGGCAAGACTTGACTTATGTTTAAATTGTGGACATGAATTCACAGCATTAACAAAAGAAATGAGATCCTCTATATGATGGGGGCATGTTTGGCTTGGCCTAACTCATAGAAAGCGCGTTGAAAAGAAAATGTTTTTTTTAAAGAAATCATCTTAACAATATGGGGCTGTTTGATTCACTTGTTGTATTGAAATTTTTTGAGAAAATGCTAGACAGTGTCATTTTTATAAATAATAGTTTTTATAGGTTTATTTAAACTCTATTTTGGTTCTCTCAAAATTTATAAAAATGTTTTCTATAAAGAAAGGGAAAGGGGGGGGTATTTTATAGAAATGAATTTCCTATCTATATGGACGGGAATTTCCTAGAAATCTGACGCATTGAATTAAATAATACTTTTCGTACAAAACTTGCCCATTTCCACTCATCAACCCATTTTATATAAAGTTGATTTTCCTCTTTCAAACAAAGAAAAAGTAAAAAAACAAGAAAACACCACTTTTTGAATTCCTATCAAATCCTTTTCCCTTTTTTCATATAAATATCAAACCAAACAACCCAAAGGTAATTATATAGTAATCACCTTTCATTTACAATTTATACATAATCCACATTTAAAGTTGGTTTTTGTTGCAATCAACCAACTCCTAGTTAGATTTTTACTAAAAAACTAAAAAAAAAGCTTAAATAATTCAAGTTCAAGGTACGTGAGTTGTATCCTAACAAGACCTAAATACTTGCAAAAATAATTCATGTACATTGAATGCAAGTATTTAAAGGGTAATTTTGGGTTTAAGTGAGGAATTTGATTGGGTGGTGGTTGATTGCTACAAAAGCCAACTTAAAAAGTGGTTTATGTATAAATTGAAAATAAAAGATAATCTTTGTATGATCACCATATTTTAAAGGTGGTTTCTAGGAAAAAACCCAAAAGAAAACGAGTGCATCAAAGGTCAATCTATCAATTATTTTCATGGATTTTTTGGGTTTGGGCAATCAATCAAGATATTGCCTTTGTCATACACTGGACCATATCAAAAGTCACATAATTATAGGGCTTGAAGAAAAAAAAAGGATAATTTTTTGAAAACCATATCAAAAGTCACATAATTATAGGGCTTGAAGCATAAAAAATGATAATTTTTTTTGAAAGAGTCTGCTTTTGAAAATTATTTAGCAAAAATGATATTTTTGTTAAACATTTGGCAAAATTGATCTCTTTTTAGCCAGCTCAACAAGCCTAGCAAAAAAGAGATCGAAATTTCAAAATGTAGGCTTAAAAATACACGAGACTGCTAGTCTCGTGTGTTTAGGGGTGGCTAATCAGCTCCTAAATACACAGTAGAAATCTCACGGGACTAGTAGTCCCGTGAGAATTCTGTGTAGTATCAGAAAATTAACGGGACTACTAGTCATGTGGATTTTCAGTACAGTAGCAGAAAACTCATGGGACTACTAGTCCTGTGGGTTTTACAGAAAGCCCCAAACATGCACGAGATATGCACGCTTCTATTTTGACTTATATCCTGCGTATATACAGTATTTCATGTGCACAAAAATTTAAATCTACCTAATATACATATCTACATAGTATAATCCTTATATAACTTATAAAATTTAAAAAATAAACATAATTTAAAACACATATAATCAATGTAGAACATCACAACACAATTGATAACAATTCACGGCAAAATGTGTACCATCGATACTCAAGAGCGGACAACAAAATGAGAACCCCTTGATAGCGGGTCTAAATGCCCAAAATATTTGCATGAACCTCTCCACTCCCGATGTAATCTCTTTAGACAACATTTTGTATTCGGTACCCGGATTTTTCTTCTTAATTGCTTTAAGATATTGCAGAAGTAATTCGTAAGATTTTTCTCAATCTTCGAGGATTTTAGTCAATGCCTTTCTCCATGTATTATATGCCTTATATGTGGATATATTTATTTTTTTCATATTGTATACCCTTGTAATTATCTGATCTGGAGTCAGATCAAGTTCTCTCCTTACTTCATGTATAATTAGCTTCAAGATATAAGAGGAAGTTGCTGCCTTATGATCGATATTGACAATTGGATTGCAACATGTATGAAGTTCACAATAACTAGAAATTATAAATTGCCCATTAGATTTTTTTTCTAATTGCTACATTGAGCTTCCATAGACCACTTGGAATTTCTTTCATCTTGAGCACTTACATACTCTCCTTGAGCTTTCTTGTTGAAATAATACTTTACATGGTAGTTGGCATTATTAGTTTTTACCAGCTTGAATTTGACTCAATTCTTGATTAACCATTCATGAATAGTGAAACCCAACGTTTCTTTATTCTCGAATAGATCTTCTTTTTCCAAAGTGAAGTTCTAGGGTCGTTCAAAATTAGAACCAAGATGAACAAACTTAGCTTGTGAGGCATTTATCCACTCCTCATTTTGAAACTCTTCTGGCAACGGTTCTTCAGACTCCATATAATTGTTGTTTATATAAAATTCATTCATCCAACGAGTGTCCTCATAGATTCCTCCAATGGCATATTGCATGCTATCAAGTCGTTTCTCTTCTTCAACATCTTTAGAATCATCATTTGCATCTTCATCCTCCTCTAAAATGGAACCAACTAGTAAATTATCTGTAACATGACCCGAGGCGTTGTGGAATATATCACTTAACATTGCACAACGGGAAGGCCCACTTAAATGTTGTAGTTGAGTCCATGTCATTTCACTCGAGTCATTTTCTAAGTGCACATCACTTGGAGATGAAATGAATTTGCTCTAATTATTTTCTAAGTCAAGCACGCGGGAGAACACTCATAGAGTATTCAAAACTTAGGCAACACCAGATATTGAAAACTTTTCAATGAACAACTCAATTGAGATTTGGTCTTCTGCAAGTTGTATCATGTCAATGATTTCTTGATCATTTGTGATCTATATATCAATTATTTTTTTTTCATTTATCATACAATTACAGAGCACCTTAGTTGCATACTCTCCATGATTAATTCTAGTAACTCTGTATATTTGCTTTATCATTCCATCGAAGTTACCATTTTTTAGATAACATGAATATATATTTAGATTCTCCCTCATATATAGGCATATTATTCATTCCAACACTTAGTCTCCCATTGAAGGAGCAAATAACGGGTATTTAGTTCGCCATTAGAAATAAAATATTAACATTCATCATTGTTTGCGGTGAAAGTTAATGTTTCCATTGTTATCGAATCTATTACAACTTTAGTCGTTACAATAAACTCGAATGAAATAAAAAGTTGATCTTTTTATAAGATCTCTTTACACAATGAAAATAAAAAGTTTACAACTTTATTAAACAAACGTAGAGATCATTTATCGGTCTTCTGCTTGCGTGAGATCTTTGCCTGTGCCGGGGTTTATCCGTAGACCACCGTCGATCAGATCTGATTGTTGAAAAATTGGGCAGAGCTTTGTCTATCCGCGAAGGGATCGAGAAACCGTAGCTCTTATCTCGGCGAAGCGAGATAATCACTCTTCTTAAGATTACCGCAACGGGATAATCCTAAGGAACGAATCGGGCTGCAGATCTAACTCCTCCTCCTCTTTGAAATCTGTGCACTTTAAGTCTTCAATCCGACAGGGCTTCGCCAATTCTCCAAAACTCCAGATCTTAAAAATGAGGGTCTGAGGCTTGTATTTATAGGCTTGAGGGGTTCCGGGCGGTTAAAATCACACAAAGGCCCAATTCTGCGTTGGAGACACCCCAGGGGTGTCTCCATTGATCCGAGACACCCCGTTCCTTAAGATTATCCCGTTGCGGTAATCTTAAGAAGAGTGATTATCTCGCTTCACCGAGATAAGAGCTACGGTTTCTCGATCCCTTCGCGGATAGACGAAGCTCTGTCCAATTTTTCAGCAATCAGATCTGATCGACGGTGGTCCACGGATAAACCCCGATATAGGCAAAGATCCCACGTAAGCAGAAGACCGATAAACGATCTCTGCGTTTGTTTGATAAAATTGTAAACTTTTTATTTTCATTATGTAAGGAGATCTTATAAAAAGATCAACTTTTTATTTTATTCGAGTTTATTGTAACGACTAAAGTTGTAATAGATTCGATAACAATGAAAACATCAACTTTCACCGCAAACAATCATATGTAAATTATCTACAGTATTCACAAATTAATTTTTATATATCTTATTTTTAGTTAAACCATACTTGAAATATGCTCTATATTAAATTTGATCTATCAAAATTTAACCAAACTATGTTGTTTATTAAAAATGAGAGAAAGTTATTCTAAATATAGAGTTATTTTTAGGCCACAATTGTAACTAAAAATTAGAGAAAAAACTATAAAAAATTAGAAAATTTTTACCTTGATGAAGACTTAAAGTTCATCAGCGTCGGAGAGGTTAGAACGTATCAAAGTTCAACAATGCTGGAGTGACTCAAGAGAGAAATTTTGTGGAAGAGCCTCAGTTTGGGTTTGGAGAGAAGGAGAGAGAGGAAAAATTAGGGGAGAAGGAGGTGATGTGGGAGAGAGATTGGGAGAGAGCCGAGGGAGTGATTTGAGGGAGATCTAGGGACTAATTTGAGGGAGAGAATGGGTAGAGGGAGGTGGAGAGCTGCGCCCCTATTTTTTGGGCACGACTGGGTTTATATAGGTCTGACAAGATATTCTGCCAAACTCTCTGTTTAACCCACGGGGCTAGTGGTCCTGTGGATTTTCTAGTATTGCTCAGAATTCCCACGGGACAACTAGTCTCGTGATAATTCTGGGGTATTTTAACTGCTGA